ACTCAATTTCTTATTACTCACAAGACCCTTTTCTCCACCTACTGATTTAACAATGTAATAGTGACCCGCAGAAAGGACAAATAAATGAAACTGAACAGATCTTTTTGGTGAACAGATTCATCGACTTTAAAGTAACAGCACACCTCTTTAAAAACAAAAAAGCCACACTATTTCAACTACCCTTCATGCACATAACACATGTCAAACAAACTCATGTCAAACTGCCTAGGTTTAGATACCACAACCACGCTAGTATGATCTCATGCTTTCCAGTTGCTGTGGTGCCGGCTCCATCACAAGGCTTTTTCTATCTTAAATAACGCTTTCTAGTTAAGGTTGCCAACCCCCATGAGCTGAGTACCAGAAAATGTGTACTTGCTATCTATGCAATGTCACATCCCAGTTATACAGACCTCTTGGTGTGGTTTAAACTAGCATATGGCCAACCGCTGGCCCTAAATGCTTTATGATTGGTAGGTCAAGCAGTGGGTGAAGACAGGAACATCAAACACAGAGTCCAGGGTTAAAAAATACAGGAAACAGAAGAGAAAATGACCAGAAGCATTGCGCATTAACACATCAATTCAGTGGCATGATTATAATTACCTCTTCTGATCTGAAATTAAATTTACAATTACAACTGGCGGCTGAGAGATGATAATTTATGTTAACCTCATATCATCCTACCCAAGGGGATGAATGAAACATAAATACAATAATGTGCAGTGCCATAATTATGATATTGTAACAAAACCACATTTAAAGGTCGCCTTGCAGCATTTCAAAGTAATATGAAAAATGATTTCGCCAAACGGTCTCGCTGATAACTTAAACCTCAGATATCAAAAAGTTGTCCAGGTCATCCCAGGAGGCTGTGTAAATGTGTGTGTGTGTTTCGCAACCTGTTATTTCACAGATGAATGCTACAGACATCTCATCTTAGGGTACTTACCTAGGCATCTGACCACACCGACCAGAGTTTTGTGTCTGCCCTACTACTGTGTCCAATGAATATCAAGTAGGCCCCTGCTACTGCACTGAAAAATATTACATGAAACGCTTCAACAAAAATTCAAACTTTTTAACTACCCGTATGAAATCGTAGATACTATCAATAACACACACACACAGACACACACACACACACATATATATATTACACGGCTTTGTTGAATACTTGATTCTGATTGGTCAATTGTGCCATCCAGCAGTATGTTATTCCCTGATAACAATCGCTCAAAACAGATAACGCAGACTCATCCGGGTTATAGAAGTCAACAGCGCTATACAAGTCAGTCGAATCAATATTTTGTGCACATTTATTTAATTATGCCATCCAGTATCATGGACGTGCCATTTTGTGACTATTGTTTTGTACACTGTTGGATGATATATAAACAGGAACGATTTTAAAACAGTGTAATCTGAATCAAATCAATATATGTTATATAATTATTTATGTAGTGAAATGCTTTGTAATAAGAAATATGAATGAGTGTATTAAAAATGCGTTTAAGGACCTAATACTGTATATATATATATTAGTGCTGTCAAACAATTAAAATATTTAATCGTGATTAATCGCATTAATGCCATAGTTAACTCACGATTAATCGCACATTTTAATCTGTTCTAAATGTCTCTTGATTTCTTTTTGTCCCATTATTTTTCCTCAACTTTAATGCTCTTATCAACATTTAAAAGTGGATCGGCTTGCTTTGTGCAATTGTTTTTTTTTTATTTTTTATTGAAAACAACATTGGCATTTACAGTGTTCAATTTCACATTAACATTCTCACTTGAAGCAAATAATCTCTCACACAATGTAACACTGTCCATCAATAAAAGGGTGAAAGAAATACTGACGAGGTCCTGATATTGACGAGGGGGCGGAGAAGTCGCAGGCTGAGAGGTAGGCCCTATACATTCAATCTACATCGTGACCACATGGAACAAGCTGAGCGAGCTGACCTACAGCCTATGCGATTGCTTGATCAATATTTAAATAGTCTGGTTCAGTGTTTGCTGTATAGTCCTGCAGTGCGCTATCACAGTTCCTCTGAAACCCTCCACCTCCCCCAGCTCCACCTGCCTAGATTTGCCACGGGATTCATCTATGCCAATTTATGCAGCAGCAACATATTTTACATAATATGCTCGCAGCAGCATGTCTGCGTATCTAATGTCAGTAGCAAATCCATGCTTGCTCTGCAGAAGCAGCAGAAATAATCAACAGCAGAAGCAGAAGCAGCGTAACAGTCATAGTCCACCAAGACCAAATACAGTAACATTGCCATATCCATTACCATGCCAATCTCTCAGAGAGCTGTCATGAAACATACTTAAAAAAAGTCTTTCAAATACTAAATAAAAGTCAAATAGGTATCAAATAAAAAAAATAAAATAAATAAAAAAAACAGTGAAAGGCGTAATTTAGACACATAAAAGCACTGATTACAAAAGTGCTACTTCCCACTATTAGGCCAAGGGGTTTGGATATTTTTAAGGTTTTGAATAAAGTGTGTTTGTTTTTGCTGTATAAATCAAACAGCACATCTTCTGTAAAGCTGCACAAGCATTTCTCTGTTAAAGGGATTCTAAAAAAATACATTTTTAGAAAAAAAAAAGAAAAATACTATGAAAGTCAGAGGTGCCAGAGTTCCAATCGTTCTTCAAAATGTCTTGCTTTGTGTTCAGCAGAAGAAAGAAACTCATACAGCTTTGCAACAACTTGAGGGTGAGTAAATGATGACAAAATTTTCATTTTTGGGTGAAGTATCCCTTTAAGGGGAAAGGGGGAGGTGAAAGTCGGCGAATTAAAATATGCGACTTGAAATTGAGTGCTGTAACTGAAAGTGCATCATATAAGTTATTGATCGCTTGATTTTATTGTGCCTACAGCAATATTCAAGGGTCATGGCAATGAATTAATGTAGCAATGTCAAATGTATACTCTTTTTGAAATGCAGGGCCTCTAACTTTGATCTCAATGCTCAACGATAATCATCCAAAGCCAAAACAAAAGATTTTGGTGACGCTTATAAAATACAAGCATCTAATCATGTATTTGAGATGGAGGGTGTGTCATTATGGAAGCCTGTTTTCATCTAAGTTGAGTAAAAATATGATTCTGTAAATCACAATGATTTGAATTTTAATCTAATAATCTAAAAATCGCATAATTATGATTTACACTAAGTAAGAATGACTTAATATGACATTTTAATAACTTAGTTTCTCATTAATATGAGATGTGAAGTCATCGTTGTGAGGTTTCTCATCGTTATTGCTCAAATAATCCTATTTTTACTCAACCAAGGCAGAAACAGGCTTCCATTGTACATTTCAGGGGAAAGATTCTATTATAACTGTCTCATTCTGATTTCTAATATTTTTTCTCATTATTTTTAAGCCATTATTATGAGAATGTTTCACATTATGAGCTGTGAAAACATTAATACAAGAAAGTGTCTTATTGTTATGAGATGTTAACATTATTATTACGAGAAAGTTTCTCATAATGAGACATTAAGACATTATTATGAGAACTTTACTGAAAATAATAAGTCGTATTTATAAGAAAGGTTCTCATTATTATTATATACAAGGACGTTTTTGTTTGTTTGTTTGTTTGTTTTGGTTTTTATGAACTATATGGAACTATATATTTTACACAACTGAGGCAGTATATTTCTAAATATTTACAAAATTCTACATTATTACCATTTCACTCTGCTTTCTAACAATACATACTGGTTGTAAATCAGGGGATTAATCTTAGTATTTGTAAATATTTCAAGTTTAAAATTAAGAACAACAAATACTATATTTCAGGAAGGGATTCCTTACATGGGATTGTCCTACTTGAGGGTCCATCGGATCAAACATTTCTAAACCCTTGATCTAGAAGACATTTACTGAAGGTGGGTTTTAAAATGCTAAATCTATGTCAAAGGAAGATTTTACAAACACATGCTAAACCAGTAATCTTAAAAAAGCTAGAATGCTTACAATTATGGGTCTGTTACTAAACAGAAAGAACAAGGCACTTTGTTTAACTAAACTGACATCATTCATGACAGTGTGATTGTGAGGTTCAGATACAGGCCTTTTGGGGAAATAGTTATGTCATGATGTATTTCAGAACCGTGGCACACCCACAAAGCCCAGATTACAGCCTGATGATAACACAATCTAAACTGAAGGATAACGGGAAGATAAACCTTCAGTGTCAACAACAACACACAAAAAAGCACAATTTAGGTAAATGTAGCAGGAAGTTTCCAAACATTTAATAGAATATGGTATACAGAAGCACGATGATGTTGTAAAAGTGAAGATGATAACATCATAACCAGGACGGACACTTGAAATTGAATTAAATGAAAAAATTCCTTAAATATTATGAAGAAACATTTAAAGAAAATCCATTTATTTAGAAGCTTTTGTATTGTATGTTACTGTATTAATACAACTTGTCATGTAAGCAACTTGTGAATTGATTATATTTTTATATAACTTTTAGGGTTTTTTTTAAATATCATTTATTAGTCTGCTATTATTTTTAAATATAACTTTTCTCAATTTGTTGTAAGATGTGTGAGGATGTGTGTCAATTATGTAGAAATTATGTATTATTTTATGTGTATCTGTATGTATTTCCTTGGCAATGTTCTTATGCTACTGTTATTCGACCATAAAAAATAAAATAAAATTAAAATGTGGCGATGGACACGCCCCCCTTTCCAGAAACACAAACTCCGCTTCTATAGCAACAAACTAACAACTTTCACACGCGAGTCCGAGCAGTTGTGAAACGTGAAACAACACAACATAGATAGATAGATAGATAGATAGATAGATAGATAGATAGATAGATAGATAGATAGATAGATAGATAGATAGATAGATAGATAGATAGATAGATAGATAGATAGATAGATAGATAGATAGATAGATAGATAGATAGATAGATAGATTAGATTTAAAGTTAAACTGACCTTGTTTGACACACTTCAGCCGGACAGGGTCTTTGCAGTGCTTGACCACAGCCCACACATCCCTGATGGTCAGTCCGGCCACTGGAGTATCATTCACCTCCAGAAGTAAATCGTCCTGGTGCAGTTTGCCCCTGTCCGGTTTCACCTCTCCAATAACGGGGAACTGTCCATTCTCCGCGCCTCCCTGCAGCTTGAACCCAAGATCACCACTCGGACCCCTGGACAACAGTATCTCGTGTACTCTGTTAGTCCAGTGACTTTTCTTCTTCAGGCTTTTGGACATGTTTGGAGTTGTTATTGTGACCGGAGAGCAGCAATGAAAGTGCGTAATCCGTCCAGTCAGCTCACTAAAGTTGCACGATCAGTCTCTGTGGATGGGAAGAGTCTCCATATCAGCAGTAGATCCACAGCAGCCTCTTAAAACTGCTCCAATCACTGTAACAGTGATGTCCGATTCGCGAATGAGCCATTCTTATGAACCGATTCGTTTAAATGATTCGTCCGAACCAAATCTTGAAAGGTTTGTGAATTATTATTTGGGAGTAACGTTACAATTGTAAGGTAAGTGACATGATAGAAGCATAACTTACGCACATTCTGACACAAATGAAGTAACGTAAACGAAAACACATTAAATTGATTTAATAATTTCATTAAACAACACGCTCAAAACTAATAAGAAACATGCTGCGTGCTTCATACAAAAAATGAATTATTCGGTAAATTGTTTCTAAACAACTTTTCTAAACAGTTCTCTCTGACACGTTGGACGCTTCAAAAAACCACAACGGATTTTCTGCGAACAATATTAGGCGACAAATCAAATTAATCAGCGACTCTAGTCATTTAAACGAACCGTCCGCTCGAATCGATTCGCTTACACGAATCGGATTTCCTAACGCTGCACTGTAACTGAGTCCAAACTGCTCTGGAAACTGAGCCGGATGTGATGTGAGGAGGAGGAGGAGAGAAGATACGCTTCCCGCTAGAGAAGTGAAAAGAAAAGAAAGAAGAGAGAAAGTAACAGAACTAATAATCATATCGTTAGCCCGGACTCCATGCAATTTTTCCATTAACGACTGCTGTGCCGCCTCCTGGAGAAAATGCTAAATGAAACTCAGTTTGGGAGAAAGTTATAGCCTACAATTATTTTCTGCAGATGTAGACTGCTGTATTCAGAGGGATGACAGTTTTTTTTTTTTTTTTGAATAGGAGGCACTTTAATGTAACTTTGATAGGCTAAGAGATTAACACAGTAGAAATAGTGACATAGCCCATATATATTAAAGTTCCATTACATTTATATTAATAGCAATTTGGTCTGTTTTCAAATAGGCTAGCCTATATAATTGATGTTTCTTTAATGTTATTAAAAATTAATTTAAACTGTGTCATAAAGAATCCTATAATAATTTGTTATGAAGCCTATTATTCAGAATTACATCATGTTTAGTTACAATAAAAATGTAAATCCTGTCATGTACTCTCATATCCCATTCTTTCCTGCATGGAATACAAAATTATTAAACAAAATGTTTAGCAGAAAATTGTAGCTATATATTCCTGCATATATTATGTCACTGCACAGTTAGTGAGTGACCGTTACAACAGTATTGTTTTCCGTATGTTGTATTGTGTGTTGTTTTTCACTTTTTTCAACACACAAAATTAAGAAAAAGGCTGTTGTATAACTCATATCTTGCCATGGCAGCATCTATTTTAATCATGTGCTCTTGTGGAGTGCAGTCCTTATTAGAGGACCAGGTTTTCAAGTAGATTAGTTACAGAGCAACGCAGCATCATGTTATATTCAAATGAGGTTGAAACCAAGCCAAATAAGCTAAGATATTATTTGTTTTCCTCATAATCCATCATTACACAAAACACATGCTTTCAAGTCAGCACTTTATCTTCCAACACAGTTCCCCTGAGTTGCTTTAGAGATATTATTATGAGACATTTAACTCCATGCTGGGAATACTTCCTATTCTCTGTTAAACAGCAACTAAGACCTCTTATTTTCACTGATATCTGCATGCATACTCTCTTCTCACACTTTATTTCATTACATAACAGAATTCATGCTGAAACCAAACCATGGCGAATATGTGCATGTTGAGATAACTTTAGGTGATGTTCAGGGGAAATAACAAGGGCCTGTGACCTTTGCTCCCTGAGACAGCTCTCTGCATTCCACAGATGGGAGTATCAGAGCGATGAGTGAGAAGTGGGAGACAAACAGACAGTGAGCTAGAGAAGGCGAGAAAGAGGAGGGCGTTTTGACAAGGCAAGAATAATTATTTGGCTGGAGGTTTTAAACATTTAGGAATTCCCTGAGCATGGCAAAAGGATATTGAGGAGTTGGTGCTTTTTAATTGGATGCTACATCCAGTCCAGAGTTCAGACACATAAAAGACACATAAGCAGTTTAGCCGATCACACAAGTAAGAGGCCATTCACACAGAGCACTGTTTTGTTTTTGAAAACGCCAAGACGCAGGGCAGCGGAATGATAAAAAGAGACATGTTTTTTTAATAAATGACTTTTACTGTATGTTCACAGTTTTAAGGGGCAGTCACACTACACTTTTTATTTTAGCGGGAGACAGGAAACGCAAGCAGATGCATGCAAATTTCCACAGCTCACGTTTGGTGAACTCTTCCTCCGAATTTGTATATCTTGAAGACTGTAGCCCTCAAACCATATTCAGTTTATAGCCCTTAATCCTGTAATTGTGGACAAATGTGGGCACAGAGGACTCAGGTGTGATCCTAATTTTTATTTATTTTAAATATTATATCACTGTCTTCAATAAAGTTTTGTCTATCCATTTATGTTTTTTTTTTTTAATTTTGGGGGGTATTTTTCAAAAAGTACCATATTTTCTATGTAAATTATGCTTATTTTTATGTTTTATTTTTTAATTTTTTTTTAACTACATTAAAATATCATTCCAATAAGTTCTTAGAGCTAAAACCTAAAGATGAAGAGACTTTGCTGTCACCTGGTGTCTTATTTTGGCTTATTTTAGAATGCTCTAAATGATTTTTTTTCCCATTCATTTCTATGGGTGCCCATTTTTGACCCAATTACAAGATTAAGGATTTTTTTCCCCCCACTCAACATTGTAGAATTGAGTTGAAAAAAAATGTGTGTGTTCTGGAGGCAAACTTAGGAAAAGTAGCCAAGTCTTGTACCGCTCAGATCAAGGGAAGTATAGGCCTATTTTTAAAAAATAAATAAAAACTATTTTGCCCACATTTGTCCAGAATACGGTTTTAGAGTTAAATTTGCTGAATGGCAGTATTGTAATAAAGTGGAGCAGAATTATTTATATTTACATTTTGGATGCAATATATGTTGAATTTTGTTTTTTTTAAAAAGTAGCTGCAGTGTGTGACGTCATATTACAAGAGTTGGGAGTGTCCGGATAAATTTTGCTTCAGTTCAAACTTCAGTTTTTGAGATTGAAAACCACATTGACTTACATGTGTAATGCTGCGTTCCACTTACCTTGAAAGAGGGATGTCGGAGGTGGGAATGGTGTCACACCTGAGTTGACTGCGTTCCAGTAAACAGGTCGGAAAACTACGATGGACGGCTCCAACAGGCTTGTACAAAATTCAGAATTTCAGAATTGGCCTCCATTCAATTCATGAATTGGAATTTGAATTAAATTGACTCCGCCCTACAGGAAGTTGAATTTGAACAGGAAGTGTTATAAAATTCATGGAAATTCAAAAAAAATTACACACAGTCGCAAAACAGAAAAAAATGTGTTGAATCTCACATGCATTCAGTGTTTGGAAATGTAATTGTTTACTGTTATAGTTGCCCATTATAAATGTGCTTTGGACTTTATTTAAATTATTTTATCAATGCAAAGCAATTTCCTTTTAATTTGATTAGTTTACCTCAGTTATACAACTAAATACAATTACATTTTGTAATTTAACAACAATGTCAGTACACGTAACTTGTTTAAATTAGTTTTGTTCTAGTGTTATTTTCATTTCAAAGTAATCAACACAAAGTCGTTGCAAATGCAATTATTTACTGAGCAACACTGTTGCATCTAATTCTCAATAGCTCCTCAAATGCTTTATCATTGAGTCTGCAGCGTTCTGGTCTGAATATCTTTCCTGCTACACTAAAGATTCTCTTCAACAGGTGCAGAGGAAGCTGCATGGCAAGATATTTACATGCAAATTGAGCAAGGGCAGACAAATGGCTTTGGTTTTCTCTCCAATAGACCAAAGGATCAGTATCCTCTGTAAGGCAAGGGGTACTCAAGTACACAAGGACCTCACGTGGGTCTGTGTCAGCTGGCATGGAAGATCATTGACTTTATGTAGGAAAATATTTTCTTTGGTTGAGCACTGCCATTCATGGTTGCATTCCCTTTTAGAGAGGCAGACTCAACTTTTGCAGGTTTACTCAAGGTTTTTGATTATTACCTGCTCTTCACCAATACACCAGTCCAACTTAAACCTTGGGTCGAGAGTGGCAGCCACTTGGAGGCATTCCATGTCTTTTGAGGTGCATTCCGTGTCGTTTTGTTAAACGGCTCTCAAGTGGGGATTGGGGATTTCAGCTCATATGATGTCAGCTGGATGGGGCAATGGAGCTCAGCAAATACATCACTTGGAACATTGAGAACATAATCTACGTTTTTGGACCTTGCCCAGTAAGTTTTTTATGAAGCCAGCATCATCCATGGCATCACAAACCACTAGCTGAAGAGTGTGGACAAAGAATGAGCTTCTCTCTGGTGGGAAGACCATCTCCTCTTCAACATTCACCATTTCAAAATCAGATATCTCATCTTGCTCTTCCTCTTCACTTTCAACAACATGCATTGGTGGGAAGAGGATGAATGCCTTATCATGTTGGAGGCATTGTCAGTCACAATGAATGGCACTTTGTTCTGAATATTGTAATTTGGAAGAACATCCTCATAAATTCTACAAATATTTTCAGCTGCCTCCATTTAAAACACTGGCAGCTCAGCATTACACTCTGCAAATCAAATGGCAAGTCATTCCAAAAAATGACTTCATTGATCGGTATTAGCCTATTACAATAAATCAAACTTAATTATTTGTTCTGTGACTAAAGCTTTTAACATTCATTGCTGGGGAAAACATTCCCTGTTAATGTAATCTGTACAAGAAGTTCAAACTAATATAATTTATAGAATATGTAATGCGATCATATCTGACATATACTGTAAAGCTTCATTGTTAAACACGTCACTTAAAATATGCATATTTACTTCCTTTAATTCAAATTCAAATTGTAATTCTAGATCCAGTTTTTGACATCAATTCAAATTCAAGAGTTTAATTGGAATTCAGGAGTCAATTCTGAATTGTGCACAAGCCTGATTTAGTTCCCAGCATGTTTTGCTTCTGACTGTTAAAGGAGAGCAAATGTTCAAATTAAGTGTAATTTCACATGTTTTTCTCAGGTTATTGTACAGGTAAGGTGGCATTACCTGCTCTGGCTT